CATCGAAACCGACTTATGCTTCGTATTTGATTGTATCGCATTGTCTAGTTCGTCTCAATTTTGTTATGGTTTTGTCATGTTCTGGCTGGTCTGTAAAGTTTAATTTTTTTGGATGTTTGTGTTGTTCGGGTTGGTTTTGATAGTCTCTATGCTTTGGATGATCTAGTTAAGCTGGATTGTCTCATTGTTTTGGATGGTAAAGTTGTTGTGAATAATTTGGTAATGGTTGCTTTTTACGGTCTTATTGGTTTGGATATTTTATTTATTTTGTTTGGTCTCTTTAATTTACTTGCTCTAGTTGTTATGGCTGGTTTTATTGTTTTTAATTATCTGGCCAGTATGGTTAATCCGATTATCTCGATGATCTTCTTGGTCCATCTAGTTCGTTCTTTTTTCCTTCTTCTCCCTGATCTCGCTTGTCCGATCGGTCTGGATGCTTGGAATCGTCTGCTCGTCTTGATGATTATGTTTGAGCTTTTCGTTTGCCTGATCTCGATGCTCTTGTTATCATAATTGATACGATTTTTGTATATGATATTGTTTATCTGGTTAGTCATGCTGGTACATTTGGCCTAATTGGCATATATTCTCTGGATCATCTCCTTGTATGCTTGGTTTGGTTGGTCCGTTCGATTAGGAGGGCAATGTGATCGTCTCGGCTGGAGTCGTCATGATTCCTTCTGACTTTCGGCTTCCTCTTCTGCCTCAGACAAAGGCGTCGATCCGGTCCGTCAGACGCAGCGACAAGCGCCTCTCGGAGCGGGTCACTGACAGACACAAGTACGACTCTGTTCCGAGATTTGCCACAACGACGGGTGCCTTGAGAGGAGGACAACGGAGGCTAAGTGAATCGGCACAAAATCGAAACCAGGCCTCGAGGAGAACTGGGCCTGGGGTCCAGGGGTCCAGAAGCCCAGACAAGACGTGAGCTCAGTCAAGCGTGTCTTCATCTGACTCTGTGCTCATGTGTGCAGACATCTTCATTCTAAACTCAGATTTGTAAACGCAAAGTCTGCATGATGCGGTGCGTGCAATTGTCTTTCGCCAAATCTGCCGTACCAGAAAGTACCACATTGCCTGCGGAACTTTGGAGATGCCCCGTCTAGAGAAGACCATAATGTTGTCTGTCGTCTGTAATTTTTGAGCTTAATTCCATTTTGAGTGGAAGCGTTTGGTGAAGAGATTCGAAGTTCGATTCCACCAGAAGATGGCGGCTCATTCATCTTATGCGAAGAAAAGTTCGGTTTCGAGGAATCTTTTCTTTCATAATTGTTGAGCTTACTTCCATTTCGAGTGAAAGTGTTGTGTGAA